GCAATGTTTGACAGGATAGTACCTAACAAGTATGATGGAATGTATGAGGTCTGGGTTGGGGGTTTGGATGGGGCCCTGGGTTGTGGGCATCGTTTGGGAGAGGAATCTAAATTAAGGACTGTGACACGAAATGTATGAAAGCTCAGTCAAAAAAAAAAAAAAAAAAAAAACTTTATTGAATTTCGTTTTTGACAATCTCACACATGTATAAAGTGCATTAATTCCCACCCCTTTTGCCCCCCTCCTTCCTGTAAGTCCCTTTCCCACATTCTATGCCTCCCCTTTTTTGAGGCTCATTGAGTTTAACCAGGATCATCTATGCAACCATGGATTTGGAACTGTTGTTTGGACCTGATGGACTCCTCAGTGGGTATACAATTGAAGATAACTGCTATCCCTCCTTGAGAATCCATCAGTAGCCAGTAGTTCAGCAGGGAGGGGGAGGGCTATAAACGTCTCCTCAATCCATGCTTGACTGTGACACAAGCCCAGTCTTGTGTCAGGCCATTGCAGGTAGCCACAGCTTGCTGTGAGGTGATGACTGCATTGAATGTGCTGTGCCTAGAGGACAGCATTTCATTGCCCTTTTCCTAGCCCCCAGCTCTTATATTCTTTCAGCCTCCCTCTTCTGCGGTGATCCCTGAGCCTTAGATAGGGTGGTATAAATGTCCTGTTTAGGGCCGAGCACTTTGCCATCACATCCTCCCAGCACCTTGAGCAGCCATGCACCTCTGCATTTACTACTACTATTTGCAAAAAGAAGCTTTTCTGATTAAGACTAGGAGTAGCATTTGTCTATGGGCATAAACATAAATATGACAGCTTAGCTAAACAGCAGCAGTAAGTTTGCCCTTAGTGCCTAGGACCTCCTTAGCAATGGGTTTTTACCAGACATGAATTCCTTCCTTGTGGAGTGGGCCTCAAATTGGATCAGAAAGCAGTTGGTTACCCATATAACATTTGTGCCACTATTGCACTAGTGGGCATATCTTGCCTGACAGATTGGTATTGTAGTTTGTAGGGTTCACATCTAAGGCTGGCAATGCCTTTTCTCCCCCAGAAGCCTGTATAACATCTTCTAGCACTATGAAAGCTAGCCAGCAGGGAAGAAGCCCCAGCTCAGTTTTAGCTTGACCTCTCTATACCTGGCAACTAAGATGTATGATGTCTTCAGCAGTAGGCTCTTATCAACTAGTTCTGGTGGGCAACCAAAGGAAATAAGAGGCTGTTATTGTTTTAGGACGTCTGGGGTCTCCCTGATCAATAGCTCATAAGGAGGTGTCTCACATCTGGCACTGGGATTTTGTGTAATAACCCTTGTCTTTCAGGAGCAGCATTATCCAGACATGCATAACTCCCTTCTTTTTCTCAGCACTGGGGTTATAGGAGCATGCCACAATGCCTGGCTTTTATGTGGGTTCTGTGGGTTCTGAGGTCCTCATGTGTATGTGGCAGGCGCTTTCCCAACTGAGCCATTGCCTCAGCCTCACAGGTAGCCTCTCAGCTACCTGGTGACAGCTTGGAATGAGAGCAGTGCAAGAAGCAGCTTTCCTATGTACAGTTTGACCCCTTTTCAGTGCAGAGTAGATACTCTCTCCCCTTGCATCTGGAAGACTGTCCACATTGCTCTAAATGCCCTAATGCTTCTTGTGGTTTCCAGCTGACCAGGGTGTCATGTCCAAGAGAGATGAGGATGATTAAGTTCTAACCTGAAAAAAGTGATATTATAGAAGATGGCAGGGCAGGAAGCACCAGGAGTTCATTCCTTCATCAAAACAACTATTAAAGCAACTATTTTGGACTGAACATTTGCAACATCCAGGGGAGAGCTTAGAGAGGCATATATATTTTAGTGAATTTCTGTTTCCTGTAGCAGTGTTCTCCTCCAAGACCCATGCAGCAGGCAGTCATGGTGACCACTGCCCAGGGTCTGGTGTGGCTTGTTATTAGCACAGTGGGCAGTAATGACTTTGTCCTCCAAAAGTCAGAGTGCTGTGTGTGATTGGTGCTCACTGCATTTCTGCCAGCACAGAGACTGGTCATTGTTCCAACCCCATGGGCTGAAGCAGCTTCCTAACTGCAGGGGACTTAAAACACTGTGTCTTTTACAAAAGCATTTTCCCTTTTGGCAAACCAGACATTTAAGGAAATCTTAGATTGCCACAGAGACAACAGAACAGAAACTTCAGTGACTCCACACTACAAGGAATACAAAAAGAGTTTGGAAAGTCACAGATGGCTCCAGCCTTCAGTGAGCAAAAATTAGCAATGCTGGAGGTTCAGAGAATTTAATTTTGAGTTACCACACAAAGTACTTAGTAGGTCTAGTTCTCGATAATAAATTACAAAACACTAAAAGAAATAGGAAAGCACGTGCATTACCAGAAAAAAGAATGTGACAGATACCGTCCTGAAGAAGTCTAGGCATTGGAATTATTGGTTAAAGATGTTAAATCAACTATCTTCAATGTGTCCAGTGAGCTAAAGCAACCACGGGAAAAAAGTAAAAGGAAATCAGGAAGAAAATATGTGTGCAAAATGACAAGGTCAGTTAAAGAGTAGAAATTATATATAAAAAAAGAGCCAAGAAAACCCTAGAGTGAAATTACAGTCACTGAAATGAAAAGTGTACTAGAGAGGCTGAAGAGCAGATCTGAGCAGGCAGAGGGAGGGTCAGTGGCTCTGCAGAGAAATGATGGAATGATCCAGAAGAGCAGAAAGAAAAAGAATGAAGGATAGCACAGAGTCTAAGCTGGGGCATGCTTCGACATACGAACATGTGTGTGAGGAGACCTGTGGAGCATGATTAAACATATGAATATGTGTGTTAAGGGAGCTATGGGGCATGGTTAAATATACAAACATGTATATCACAGGAATTCTAGAAGA